CATCCCATATAACGGTAATTTAGAGAAATACGAAATCTTCGATAAATAAGTAAATATTAAAGCTAATTTATTCAAAATTGATGCGTGCAATNCGAAAACCGGTTTTAACCGTGCAATCCGTGCAATCTGTGCACCATGCAAGGGCTTTGCAAGACTCAGAGAATATTCCTATATGTATGTATATCGGTAACCGTTCTACCAATTTGTACCGAACTCGGTATTTTTATTGTGCTTGCCTCGTAAAAGCAAAACGTTGAAAATTATTGAAATCGGACTAAAATTACGGCCGCTTTTCATATAACGGTAAATTTTAGAAATGCTTGAAACTGCAATATTTCGAAATTTAAGGACGCTAATTTACTCAAAATTGATACCGGCTTACCATCAAGCGGTAGGTTTCGGAAAGGTGAAAAAACATATCGTCGTTTAAAGTACAAAACCGCGTATCGTCGTTCTGCAAAACCGCGTAACTGACATTGGCTGCCAAAAATTGGATTTGCACACACAAGCTCTTGGCTCAATCCTTATCCATTCGTCGTGGAATATACTAGCCAGAAATGCGATTGATTTATAAAAAAGAAAACCATTTTGAATTATGAGTGTTTTTATGCTCTAGAAAATAATTTCTACAACTTCACATACGCGGTTTTGCATTTTGTTGATACGCGGTTTTGCACTTTAAAAGACGATATATTTAATACTTGCGTCGGGTATTTAATGTTCGGCTCCACCCGAACTTAGACTTTCTTACTTGTTCATATTTCTTTTGAAAAAAAATATATATATTTCTATCGCACATTTAATAATATACAGAATTATTTCAAAATTTCAATTTTGTTGGCAAGCGCAATCAAAGTTTTATCAATTCATACAATTGGTATACAAAAAAGACAGCTGGAAAGGAAAATATCTTCGCCATTTTTGGGAGGTTTAGTAATCTGTTAGGCTAAACATATTCCACTTATCAATTCTATGATTAAATCTCCAAAAACGCAAATTTTTAATTTTATCTCTAAAAGTTAAAAAATAGCTTGTAATAAAAGACCTAAACACATGAATGGTATTTTTCTGACCTTTAAATGACCTCAAACCCGACGTGATGCAGATTAACAGACCTCGGATTCGCATTCAGCGCATCGAATAACATTCCTCTACATGTTTGGTTCAATACGCAGAAGCTTTTTTGTTGTAAACCGTAAATTTTTTATAAAAAAAAAGTTCATAAATTTGCATGCAAATTTTCTACTTTTTTATCTGACCTTTTTATATTTGTTTTTGAGAATGCAGTTTTTTAGCCCATTCAAAAAAATGCGAAACAACTTCAAAATTTTTTCAAAATCAACGCGATTTTTTAGCAACTTTAAATTTGCATTTTTAATGGTAGATGTGTGTAAGCCGACAGGCTTTATGCAAAAAAAAAAACTGCATACTCAAGTAAATTCAAAAAATCTGAATAAAAAGTTGAAAGTTTGCATGAAAGTTTATTGAGATATCCTCAGTTTTGAACAAAGGTTTTTTATGTTTTTTTTTTTTATTATAGTATGAAGCATATTTTTAGCGGAATGAGCGAAAAAATTTAAAGAAAAATTGTTGCATATATTGTGGAAAATTCTCTGTGCCCAGTACTTTTTGTCGTGAGTGTATAAGGAAGGAAATAAACAACACTCAGTGTAAAAATTTAATTTTATGTGTACTAAAAAAAAGATTTACAAGAATTAATTCCCAATTCCATTAATTTTGTTGTTTACTTTTTTAAACTTTTTCTTTTTTTTTCGTTTAAAGACCAAAATACTAGAGGCCAAAAGAGACCGAAAGTATACAATCTTAGCGTGGGAATATAATTTTTAGTTATCGAACTTTAATGGAACAAAAAAACTTTTCAAGGCGAATTCATATAAGGTGGTAGCGGCAGCACAAAATAAAAAAAAAAAACTGCACTAACAAATTATACGCACAATGGCAATAGGAACACAACAAATGAACAACAAGCACATCGTTTTGACAACCAGTACAACCGCAGAGTGAATCTAACTAACACCGCTAACACCACTTTTATATGGTTTCGCCTTGAACTTTTTCTTAGAAAATATTTATATTCGCCTACTTTTTCAGTTAGGGAATTCACAAAACGTGGTAAGCGTCGTAATGTTTTGTAAAACGCCTAAGTGGATAATATTTTTTTTTTTTTTTTTGGCTTTGTTTCTTTATACATTCCGGATAATCCCATTTCACAGCCGGAACAAACAGAATACGTTTGAAATATACGTTAGCATATCATCAGGAATATTCTAAAGAATAAGTAAACAAAAAAGTATATTCCAAACGTTCGGAATGAATAAAGAAATGCAGCCTTAGTTTTGGCTTCTCGAGGGAATAATTAAATTTTTTGTAATTCATTTTTGTTATTTTTTTCTTTTAGGGCCGTCAACCTATCTGTTTTAAGGTATAGTTAAACTTAACTACATAATTTTCAAATGGAATTTTCCGTAGTTAAGTTTAGCTAATGATTTAACTATATTCTAAAATATATAAGTTAACGGCCCTTGATGTATTATTTAAACTTATTCAACACCCAATAACCATTTTTTACAATAGCATGTTTTGCTAAGAATTTTGGTGGAAAAGCAAAAAAGCGGTGAATGCACTTTGAGAGAAGCCATTGATTTTCAAATGAAAGCGCCTAGGAAAGGAAACTTGCTCCTAAAATCGGACAAAAATTGCTCGAACTGTGTTTTAAGATTTTTATTTTAAACAATTTTTTGTTTCTGTAGTCAATGAAAGAAAAAATCTATGTATGGATTCGAACACAGCTTTCTTTAAATACATTAAATAATTGTTTATTTATATCTCGAAATAGGTCATATAGTACAACAACAACGAATTATCTTCAACCATAAACTATATTCTCTAGGTCAAGCTTTTTGAGACTTAAACGCCAAACAATGCCAAATGGCAGACACTTGAAGCTAACCTAACATCAAAAGAAAAGCAGAACATCAATGCCCCGTTTACATTATGCCAGACCAGTGACTAATCCATGTCTAACCCTTACTAAAGTAAGTAGTAAGGATTACTACAGTGAGTGGTAGGGAATAGACATGTACTGAACATGGATTAGAAACATGAGCCACTTAACGGTAGCAAGTTTTTATTTTTTGAATTTTGCATTGTGTCGTTATTGCAGAGGATCATGGATATATCAATTCACTGTATGATGCTCTCAAAGCACTGGTATGCCAGCGGATTGTTCGTCTAGATCAGGGCTTCTTAAACTTTTAAGATGATGGAACCCTTACTAAACACCTTTCATTTTATGGAACCCCACATCAAATTACTAAAAATCAAAGGCAGTGTAATTTAAGTATGACTAAAAACTTTTACTAGAAATAGTATACATACTTTAAATTTTAATGTGAAGAATGAAATTGTTTCACTGTTATTAATTATCGTAAAAAAAAAATAGTAGTTCGANTTATGTGTACTAAAAAAAAGATTTACAAGAATTAATTCCCAATTCCATTATATTTGTTGTTTACTTTTTTAAACTTTTTCTTTTTTTTTTCGTGTAAAGACCAAAATACTAGAGGCCAAAAGAGACCGAAAGTATACAATCTTAGCGTGGGAATATAATTTTTAGTTATCGAACTTTAATGGAACAAAAAAACTTTTCAAGGCGAATTCATATAAGGTGGTAGCGGCAGCACAAAAAAAAAAAAAAAAACTGAAATAACAAATTATACGCACAATGGCAATAGGAACACAACAAATGTACAACAAGCACATCGTTTTGACAATCAGTACAACCGCGGAGTGAATCTAACTAACACCGCTAACACCACTTTTATATGGTTTCGCCTTGAACTTTTTCTTAGAAAATATTTATATTATTCGCCTACTTTTTCAGTTTTCACAAAACGTGGTAAGCGTCGTAATGTTTTGTAAAACGCCTAAGTGGATAATATCTATTTTTTTTTTAGTTTTGGCTTTTCGAGGGATTTATTAAATTTTTTTTGTTATTATTTTCTTTTAGGGCCGTCAACCTATCTGTTTTAAGGTATAGTTAAACTTAGTTTTTGCTTTTCGAGGGAATTATTAAATTTTTTGTAATTCATGTTTGCTATTTTTTTCTTTTAGGGCCGTCAACCTATCTGTTTTAATGTATAGTTAAACTTAACTACATAATTTTCAAATGGAATTTTCCGTAGTTAAGTTTAGCTAATGATTTAACTATATTCTAAAATATATAAGTTAACGGCCCTTGATGTATTATTTAAAACTACTCAACACCCAATAACCATTTTTTACAATAGCATGTTTTGCTAAGAATTTTGGTGGAAAAGCAAAAAAGCGGTGAATGCACTTTGAGAGAAGCCATTGATTTTCAAATGAAAGCGCCTAGGAAAGGAAACTTGCTCCTAAAATCGGACAAAAATTGCTCGAACTGTGTTTTAAGATTTTTATTTTAAACAATTTTTTGTTTCTGTAGTCAATGAAAGAAAAAATCTATGTATGGATTCGAACACAGCTTTCTTTAAATACATTAAATAATTGTTTATTTATATCTCGAAATAGGTCATATAGTACAACAACAACGAATTATCTTCAACCATAAACTATATTCTCTAGGTCAAGCTTTTTGAGACTTAAACGCCAAACAATGCCAAATGGCAGACACTNAAATTAATTTCGCGGAACCCCGGTGACTTTTCTACGGAACCCTTGGATTCCGCGGAACACACTTTAAGAAGCTCTGGTCTACATTATGCCAGTATAATGTCCAAAAGCTGTATACGCATTTCTGGGGTAGCATCCAATTTCGATCTGATTTTTTTTTTAAAATTAATTTCGCGGAACCCCGGTGACTTTTCTACGGAACCCTTGGGTTCCGCGGAACACACTTTAAGAAGCTCTGGTCTACATTATGCCAGTTGAAGTGTCATGAAAAGTAGACCGACATTCCAGTTGCTGGCATGAACTTTTCACTAGAATGAGTTAATGCCAATAAATGTTTACATTATGCCAGTAACAGGACTGGCTCACCACGGACATAATGTAAACGGGGCATACTATTCATATGCTATAACACTCAACCATGCAAAGAAATATTTTAACAACTTATACTTTTACTTAAACTACTTAAAAAGCGTAAGTACTATTTATATTATGGTATGGAGTATACATAGTTTCGAAACCAGATTTAGTCACAAAATTCTTTATAAAATAACAATTTGTATTGAAATTTACATCAAATCCAACACCAGCATGCAAAGTTACCAGATTATAAAAAAATTGTATCTATGTACTGTATGTATACAGTTTATAGTATATTTAAAAATGTTTGAAATCATAAAGGGATAGCCAGAGGGACTTGCTTGTAAGTGTGACGTTTATTTCCAAGGCAGATTTCAGACCATTTACATCTTCTTTTAATTCAAGACTCTAGAGATATAAAAAAAAGCGGTATATAACTTCACGATGCCCTCACAGTACGCCTACTTGACGGACAGATCAGTGCAATTTGTCTTGCACACAATTGTTAAAGATATGGAGGAGTCGTTTATAAGCAAATACTACGTGGTTAACTCCGCTGATAGTAAGGGTATAAGAATTCCTTTGACATGCGAGCGCTGACCGAAATACACCATTTCAATATCATTTTCTATCACTCTTCCGCTTAAGATTTTCTTTGATCATCTGATGGAAAATGCTTCTCATAAAACTATTTACAGTTCGGAGGCGGCATAAAATTGTAGGTCGCTCCATTAATGCCACAACATCAAGACGCACACCACAAATTGGAGGAGAAGCTCAGACAAAAACTTAGCAAAAACGAAAGCGCCAAAATTATTATTATTCAGTTTCAGTTAACAGTTTTTTCTATAGTTTAAATTCCGCAATTTGGGGCTGGTCTAAAACACTATTAGGATCAATCGATTATTATCGTTTTAATTATTTAAAAGTCTAGCTCTTTCTAATGCCATCTGTACCCGGTTAAGACAATGATTAGCTTAGTGTTTTCCATGTAAGCTTGAAAGCTGGGATTGGAATGAGCGAAGAGCTCTGGTAGTTAGGATCACAAGTGGTTAGATTACTATGTTACTGAGATCAACTTAATCAGGCATATTGTGGTTTAGTCTAATGTTATTACAGTATCAAAAAAAACTAACCTTCACCGTAAGGGCTGCGTTATTACTTTCTAACTCAATACTCAACACAACTAAACCAATTCCGCCGCGCGATACTACATAAACGCAATTCATTTAAAATTCTACACTAAAGCTGATAATTTAAAATCTCCAACCCACTAATATATTCTAACTGTTTTGGTTAGTAAGCAAGTAAGGAAGTTAATATTTAGCAATAAAAGTTTTATAATAATTTCACAAATTTTCTATTAGCTAAAAATTAAAGAAACGTAAAAGGTAACGTACCGGAAGTTACAGATTTGCGCAATGGCAAGTCCCGAAATGTAGTTACGCTGCTGCTCTCTACTGACAAATCAACAGATGGTAATGGTGGCGTTGGCGTATCCGAATGTGAACGTTCATGTATGGCACGCGCGGGTACCATATTGCCTGCATGTAAATGGCCAATTCATTAGTAAACTAATTTACATATTTAAAAAATATCTTAAATATTACTCACCAGCTGGCATCGAATTGCTGCCGGACGCCAAACGTCGATGCGAACATGGACTTGGCGTAGTCGACACACCAGCCGTTGCAGTCAGCGGCATGCCAGCCGCCGTCGAGGTGAACGCATGCGCGAGCATATGATGTGGCGTATTAACTAGCAGTGGTGGCGGCGGTGGTGGCATGCCCGAATGACGCTGTGTAAACGGCTGATGTGGGCGCACTTTTGTTGGGTCGGAGAGCGCAAGTATCTTTTTGACCGCTTGCGGTGAGGCGATGCCAAATTTTGAGTTGTTATTGTGCGCCATATTACGACGATTGTGATGATCGCTGGTCGACGATGTCGAGCTGGTTGTGGAGAGTGTCGGCGAGGAGGGATGACGTTTACGCAAAGACAATGACGAGTTGGGCGCCGAAGACGAAGAAGTGTGCGAATAGATGCTCAACTGATCACCACTGCGCATCGACGAATTTCCGGTGCCATCACGACCCAAACCACTTTCGCCACGCGTACTACTGCTGCTGCCACCATGCGTTTGTGAATTAGAAGCAGGTTCGCATTCGAGCGAGAATTTGTGCAGTGCATCCTCGTCGTTGATGATTTTTAAATTGTTAAGATAGGCCTTGACACGACGCACCATTTGTGCTTCTTCGAACATTTTCTTGGGGTTGGGCGCAGCTGTTGACTTCTTGCGGCGCTTGATTGTCGACTGACCGGCATTGGCGGCGATGACGGTGCTGTGTGTGCCACCGGCACTTTGTGAAGTAGAAAGCTGATTGAGCGAGAAGAGCGCATTCGAGGGCGATTGACCTTTGAGTTCGAGTATGGCGAGCAGATCGTAGGGCGAGGAGCACATATGCGTCAGTAGACGTACCTCCTTGGCGAGCATGCGCAATTTTTCAAAGTTGATAAGACCATCTATACGCGTATCATTTCCGAGATGAATGAAGGTGAGATCCTTTTTCACAATTGGATAGAATGGTATGATGGGATGTTGTGCGAGCAGTTCGGAGGAAACCAGTTGTCGGTATTTCGACATATTGCGTGATGGATCCATTAGGTCTTGCAGGTCGGAGAAGAGACGTTGGTACTTAGAAGGCAATTTTTCCCAAGTGAGTCGCAGACGTGACACAGCCGCATGCCCCAGACCGGATATAATGGCGAACATTGAGTTGAAGTTGCGACACTCCTTGCAGTGGCGTGCGATTTTTATGAACTGTTTGACAATTTTCATGCGGCGCACAATGTTGTGCTCGCTGCAGATCTCGGTCACCACCCAAAACATTTCACGGTTGACGAGCTCGGCGAATTTCGACAACATCGGCACCCCATACTTTGTTTGCAGAGTGAATAAATCATCGATATATTCAGTAGATTCGATTTGCCGGAAGATAGCGAAATCCTGCAGCGTTAACTGTATGGCCAATTCGTAGGCGTTCAGCTGTAAAAAGTGTACACTTGACTCGCGCACCAGTTCTAGCGCTAATTCGTCCGGCACCAGCGTCTCAGTGCTGCCATTTGTTTTANGCCAATTCGTAGGCGTTCAGCTGTAAAAAGTGTACACTTGACTCGCGCACAAGTTCTAGCGCTAATTCGTCCGGCACCAGCGTCTCAGTGCTGCCATTTGTTTTGAGATAGTAGCGCGCAGCAAAGCCAATCCGTTCGGCGAGATTTTGCAGCTGATCGGGCAGCCGTCGCTGTTTCACCATGCCACCTTCGCCGACGCTAACCTCACATAGTGAATAATTCGAGCTCGGATCGTGGATGCCGAACTCCTGCAGCGCTAGCATGACCACTTCGTGCGCCGTCGTTTCCTTGTTAATGAGTAAATATTTACATGACTGGTCTGCTTTAAAGACTTTTAATACATGCTCAGGATAATCAGGTAGCATTGCAGAACTTGTTGTGGAAACAGCCGAAGGTCGATGCATGGAGGCAGTCAGGTAGTTGGGTGTGGGCGTGGGCGCTGTTGCAGTGCTGGTTGCCAGGGAATTGGAGTCTTCGTAAAGCAGCGATGAACTCAAATCGGGATTGGACTGCGATTGGTAAAGGCGATTGCCGCCGCCGCCACCGCAAGTGGAGGAGGAACTGGATGAGGATGTTGTTAGTTTGCCTTTTTGTGACATCGTTTCAGTAGGCGTGGCTATATCAACAGAATCATTTAAACCCGAACCGCCGATGCTTTTGTGCTGCAACAAATTCATTTTCGCCAGCGCTTTTTGTAACCGCCGCTTTGGCGCAAGCGTCATGAAACCGCCACCCTTTGCGCCACCACCACCACCACCGCCGCTGCAACCAATGCCATCATTGCAATTCGTTTGCGCATCTTTGCGCCCTGAAGCATTGCTGACACTCTGCAACAGATTGGACATAAAATTGCTGGCCATATTGCCACCACCGCCGCTAGGCTGCTGCGGCATGACCGCCGGTGGTGTCGCGGGTGGACAGCAGTCCGTCTGATCTGTGGGCAACAGCATATCAACCGAGCTGAGTCGCAGTATATGCGAACGATTTGTAGTTGTCATATCATCCAACATGCAGCGGCCGTGCAACTTTGCAATGTCATTGGCGCATATTCGCCGCGGACTGCGCAGTGACTTGGAGCCCAGCGAGCCACCGCTGCTGCCACTGCCACTACCGATCGGCGTACCAGCGCCATTGCTACCGCCACTTCCGTTCCCGCCCTGCTCAATAGCCAACATCATTTCCTTGAAACCTAGCAGATTGCTTTTCACTGTTATACTCAGATGTGTGCTGGCCATTAGTATTTCCATGGCGCGTTTGCTAGTCACATGCTCGAATGACTGCCCGTTTACTTCGTGTATTTGATCGCCGCGCTTAAGCCCAATATCTTGTGCCTTTGAGCCGGGCACTACATGTGCAATGTAGATGCCACAACCGCCTCCACCGGTGGCTGCCGTAATGCCGCGCATCTCATAGCCGCCGATTATATTGAAATTCAATGGCTCATCGCGAGATGAGCGCGTCAACGTACAACTGCGCATGCGCGCCTTGGCCGCGCACGCTATATGCAACAAACGCAGTTGACTCAACAGCCGCGTATGTTCCAAGCCAGCCTCGAACACCTCCAGGAACTCCATCATTTCATGATCAGCCTCAAAATCGGTAAAGTGATTGTTCACCCACAGCAGTACAACGCGTGTGACGCGATCTCTAATCTCTTGTGGCGAAGCGCTGCTGCCCTTCGGCGGCTCAGCATCACACTCGAACCATGCGAGCAGCTTCTGTGTCAGCTCTTGTGGGTTCTTGATGAAAATGCGCTGCGTTAGCAAAAAGTCCTCTACATATGTCGGATCAGTCATTGAATTCTCCTCCACTAGCTGCTGCAGCAAACGTTCCGGCGTGCCGCGTATCACCACATGCCCACGCTTCATGCCCGCTGCGCTCGTCGCGGATGTATTACTGCCAGCGCTAGCATGGTCATTGCTGCCAATTTGACGCAGCTCAGTGACCATTACAATGCGTCCGTCCTCATCCTCATGCCGTCGCGTATTCTCCTCACCCTGATGCTGTATGCGATAGTAATCGGTTTGTGTTATACAAACAAACTGACAGTCATCGCACTTTGTGCGCATCACACCACGATGATACAGCTTATCCATAGTGGGCAATATGCCAAATGAATCGCCCATTTGTAACTCCTCACGCGAGCCATTCGCATGCTCGATTTCCACAGCGCCATTGATGAGCACCGACCACGAATCGAGCTCCTCGCCATCGGACATCACCACCGTACCGGCCTTGTCGACCACAGCAAAGACCATAACGGCGCAGAGCGCACGTCGTACGGCTAGTGTAATATTGGTGAAAGCCTTTAGACCCTGTGTGAATTCGAGCAGAATTTCTACATCTTCCTCAGTGCGTTCAGAGGGGTCTTTCTCCAGGCAATCGCGCACAGCATCGCGAACATTTAAGCTCTGGTAGAGAAGGAAAATGAGAGTGTGTGTAAAGTTAAATAAGAAAAAGTAGAGTAGAAATGCATATCTATGGCGAATATGCGACTCACATCCATACTCTCGGCTAAGTCCTCCTCGTCAGAGTCAACCACCGACTCCACCAAGCCAGAGAGGTCAATCTCCTCGGCGTCCATTGATGAGCCGTACACAGATGCCATGGTATCACTGCCACTGTACGCTGAGCTAGTGTCACTCGAATGTGAGCCGCGATTGCATTTCTGCTGCAATTCTGGGCGCGTGGGTGGATACTGGCAAGCAAAAGAAGGAAAGGAAAACAATATTAAATTTAACAATGCTGGGCAGTGGCTCTTAGTTCAACACAACTTACATGATGTCTGATATGATGATATGGATCCATTAGTTGTCGATAGTGTTGTCGCGCGCTTTGTGGCGCTTTTGGTGCTTGTTTAATTTAACACTTATTCTACTAGTGGCTAATACCTAATGCAGCTAAATTTCGTAGTTTGAATCTGCTGTCGTGCTTCAGGGCGCTGAAAACGCGCATACAATAAAAAGGTGCCTGATATGTAATTTTCTGTCTTAGAGCTTGCGGTAGCTTAGCTGGAAGTTGGATTTTGTTGAAAATTTTCTCACAGTACGTATGACGAACTTTTCAAGCTTAGTAATACGTACATATTTTTGCGTGCTTATACACTTTAGGTTCAAAGTTAATATGCAGCTGACTTCGGTTGCGACTTTCTTTTGATGTTCTTGCAGTTTGTAAGTATCTATGCTGCCCCTGCTGCTGTTGCGGCCGTCATTGTCGGTTTTATTTTTCAATTATGGCTCATCTATTGTTGTTGTTAGTTCATGTTGCTGGTTTTTTATTTTTTTACTTTGTATGGCGGCATTAAGTAGCCAGCAATCAGATTGATCGTCGACCGTCTACTTGAAGCACTGTAAATACACGAATTAAATTACTTTCAATTAGCTTATGTCTGCATAAGTAGATATTATTTATGTGAGTATAATTGCACGATATTCAAATTAANTTATTTTTCAATTATGGCTCATCTATTGTTGTTGTTAGTTCATGTTGCTGATTTTTTATTTTTTTACTTTGTATGGCGGCATTAAGTAGCCAGCAATCAGATTGATCGTCGACCGTCTACTTGAAGCACTGTAAAAACACGAATTAAATTACTTTCAATTAGCTTATGTCTGCATAAGTAGATATTATTTATGTGATTATAATTGCACGATATTCAAATTACCATGGTAAATAAATAAATAATATGATTATTGTATAATAAACTTATTTAGGCGCATGATACTGACAGCACCGACAAATTGCATCGCTGATGGTCTCGCCCCATCACAATACCAAATGAGTAGCATCATTTCACTGCCTTATTAAAGGAAGGCAGAAAAATGAAAGCATTGCCTATCCACTTGCAGCACAATCACTCTCGCCAACCAACCACCCACCCACCCTCTTACAGATGATTGTACATATACATATGTACATACATACATACGTGGCGTTATGTTGAGCGTGTGTGTGTGACTGTTGTTAGCGCTCATATGTACGTTCTTGCATTTATTGTGTGACGACANGAAGGCAGAAAAATGAAAGCATTGCCTATCCACTTGCAGCACAATCACTCGCCAACCAACCACCCACCCACCCTCTTACAGATGATTGTACATATATGTACATACATACATACGTGGCGTTATGTTGAGCGTGTGTGTGTGACTGTTGTTAGCGCTCATATGTACGTTCTTCCATTTATTGTGTGACGACGACGGCTAGCATATCTGCCCGCACATATTTGTCAGGCCCTATAGTATGGCTTATTTGTCTGGTGCCACTTGACTGGCCGCACAGCAACGCAGCGCAATGCAACGCAATGTAATGCAACACACTCCACTACTGCATCTCAGCAGCCCTCGTCGTCTACATTGATTTTAATTTTTATCCACTGTTTTAACACAATAGCCAACATTCTTGTAATGCCAATATCAAAGAAACAAAAAAAAAAAAACAATAGAAGTAAGTACTTATACTCACACACTACTATCTACTGGCATTTTTATAACACTCAGTATGAGACGCAGTTGACTGGAGCATAAGATCACAGGAAGCGCAGCACCAAGTGTGTATTGTTGTCGGTCACTGACAATCAGGGCATAGCGAAATTGTGGCCCATAACAACTTTGGAACTTGAAGCAACTATGTATGAGGCGACATTTGAATTGAATAATTAATATGTAGCAGCTAATATGGTGGCAAGTACATATGTGGGAGTGATGGTTTTGGCATACAAATGAAATAAAAAAATAAAAAAAAAAACGCAAAAATTAGCGGATTGATGCAAACTAAGTTTTTTTTTCAGGGCATATCGAGAATNACACACTCCACTACTGCATCTCAGCAGCCCTCGTCGTCTACATTGATTTTCATTTTTATCCACTGTTTTATCACAATAGCCAACATTCTTGTAATGCCAATATCAAAGAAACCAAAAAAAAAGAAAACAATAGAAGTAAGTACTTATACTCACACACTACTATCTACTGGCATTTTTATAACACTCAGTATGAGACGCAGCTGACTGGAGCATAAGATCACAGGAAGCGCAGCACCAAGTGTGTATTGTTGTCGGTCACTGACAATCAGGGCATAGCGAAATAGTGGCCCATAACAACTTTGGAACTTGAAGCAACTATGTATGAGGCGACATTTGAATTGAATAATTAATATGTAGCAGCTAATATGGTGGCAAGCACATATGTGGGAGTGATGGTTTTGGCGATACAAATGAAATAAAAAAATAAAAAAAACGCAAAAATTAGCGGATTGATGCAAACTAAGTTTTCTTTTCAGGGCATATCGAGAACTGATAAGACGTTTTAGCTCCCTTAGGGCCCTGTCACACGGTCAGTAATTACCACGATATTTGGATCGCGATCCATATTGATGCATTGATGGATCGCGCACGAATGCTACATGTTCAATGTTTGTCGCGTCAGTATAATTTTTGTGGTGAACGCTTATTATGACGCAAGAAAATATCTTTATTTTGTACGTATAATTTGCAAATAATGCATTTTATGCAATTATTTTAAAATTTCCAATGCTAATTACNATATTTGGATCGCGATCCATATTGATGCATTGATGGATCGCGCACGAATGCTACATGTTCAATGTTTATCGCGTCAGTATAATTTTTGTGGTGAACGCTTATTATGACGCAAGAAAATATTTTTATTTTGTACGTATAATTTGCAGATAATGCATTTCACAATTATTTTAAAATTTCCAATGTTAATTAAAATTTTTTTCTATTTGTTTTGAAAGGTTTTAAGCACCGAGAGTGAAGGCAGAGCGAATACGTTTTCGATGTTCGCATTATGAGAGTACAAGATGTACTGACGAATGTATGGATCGCGTTTTGAAAGTGCTACATGTTAAATATTTATTGACGGTATTGCGATCCGCGATCCAGATTTCAAATTTTTTAGAAATTTTGCGATATGGATCACGATCCATCAATACTGCATGCTACACCGTCAATAAATATCGCGATATTTGGATCACGTCAATAAATACTTACCGTGTGACAGAGCCCTTATAACATGTCCCCACCAAAAAGTTAACCATCTAAAATCGAACTTAACCACATCACTAACTATTGCTGTCCACCCTGCGGTGTAATGCAGTACAGTGTTCGGACCTCCAAAACTCGATTCAGGACTAAAAATCTGAGCAAAAACAAATTTTCCGTACTAGATTGAATTTTTTATTTTCGTTTCTGACATTAATTGTTTGACTTAAATATTTTCCATTCATGCAAAATTAAGAACGCGAGGCAATGTAAGGATAATATGTTAAATATTTATATAATATTTAGCATTTTCTATGAAGTAGAACGTTTCTAACACTTAATTTTTTTAAGAGCAATAGGATCTAAACCTTTTCTAATTTATATAAATTTCATTCTGCATATGTATATCTTTTAACAACTAAACTCAAGTTCTGCATCCGCCAATTTCTACAGCCATACATCAAAAAATAACCAAGTTAATTTATTGACGCATTGCTATGAAAGAGTTACTTTTTAACAGTGAGATTTGACTTTAAATTTTTTTTACTGAAACCGGTGGTGAACACTCAAGAAAGCGGCCCCAAGAGGGGCATAACATCAATGAAAAAAAAACGGAATAGATTTGACGTCAAGCGGAGTAAGGGAGTAGATTTTTTCAAAAACCGGAGTAAATCTAATCTGAAACGAATTTTTTACATTTTAACGCTAATGACCCACAGATTGCGGGAAAACACAGGGCGGTATCAGACTCTCGACATGGTTTCGAGTTGGTTAGCTTTTAGCGAAACTACGCTAAATGAAGTGGGTTATCAGGATAACCAACTCAACAGCCATAACTACGTGGTTAGCGCCGGTGGGGACATGGTATTAGAGTGAGCCAGATAATAAATAAGAAATATAAAAAATATATCAGTGATAATATTGATTTATATCGATAAATGCAACGATAAATATTTTTTATATCTAAAAGATATCGCTAAATGTGTTGATAGTGACAATAAATGCCTCAAAACGAGATACATATGTTGGTAACGTTATCGATAAATATATCGATAATAGGATATGTTTGTTGATAACGATATCGATAAATACATCGATAATCAGCATACAAATTTTCAGGCACTTTCTTCCATACAAAGCATGTTCGACAATTTTTTTTATGGAAGAAAATAACAAAACCATCAGAAAAAAATTTTATAAATCACAGCGAATTCTTGGCCACTTGAAACTTGCACTTTGTTATGCTAAAATTTAATGGCCTATAACACTGCATTCTCAGAATTCAGAAAAATTATTGATACAAAATATTTTGGTGGAAAATTTTGTTGAAATCTTCTAATGCGCTCGCAACAATTACAATTTTTATTTGAACAATTTTTTCCGCTAATTTTTTCTTAAACCATTAAATATAACAAACAAAATAAAACAATCTTGTAACCCATTGAATTTTATTTAGTATAACTTATAAGTGCGCAAGTTTTTGGTAACTAGTACTTACCGCTGATTTTTGGAAATTTTTGTTTTGTGGGCAGTCAGTCAAGATCTTCATTTACGAAACCCGTTTGGATTATTTTTTATCGAAAAATTTAAAATCACGAAAAACAAAAAATAACCATTTTGCAATGATCTAAAAACAAATATCTTGGTATCTTGATATTTAATAGTTAATTTCGGTCCCGATTTTAAAGTTTTTAAAAATTAACCCTTAGAAAAAAACTTTTCTAAATTAGATTTTGCCCGGACTAGAGTTCCAACACAGGTGGTACAGAGTGTTAGTACGCAGCTCTAACCACTCAGCCACAGCGGCAGCAATGTGCATATACTATTATTAGTGTTGGGAAGAAATTAGATATCGTACTTTCTTTAAATATACACAGGTTGGAAACATTTTAATGCTTAGTGTAGAAATCTCACAAGCTGGCAACACTTTATTCAAATTAATATATTAGTAGCAAATTACGTCGATTGAGTGGCTACTTGAAATTGAGTACGATCATTTCTGAATATCGGTAAAAACACATAGAACGCAGTAGTTTTTAGTATCTATTCGAGTCTTAATACTGAGTGATTTGAATCGATCCCGAGTACACGTATCAAAGTGATGATTGGAACAGAGTATTTGTGAGTACTGAGTACTTTTGGGGTACTTCGGAGTATTCAGTATCGATACTTTTCAAAATTGGGTACTTCGATCCTTTTGTGAATCGAGTTCCGAGTACTTTTGGTATCGATACTTCCCAACACTAATTATTATTATTATTTCTACACTCGTAATTTATTGCTAGAATTATCATCAACTTCCATGCAATTGAATAATCGCACTCACCTTAGTTTATCTTTATTAAAATTGATTGCAAGTGGATTTGTTTGAATTGGAATTATGCAATATGATGATTGATTTGTTGCAAAGGGGAACATAGGTAATTATGTTTAATTACTTTAATTTATGTAATTAAATTATTATGATATGTCATAGGCGAATATATTATTAATCTACATATTCACATACAAATATACACAATACAAGCAATAATGGCAATGGTTCAATGAAAACACTTTTCTATGG